AGAGGATAATGGCGGTGGTGTCGGTGAAGATAGTGAATAGTCAATCACAATAGCGGCCACCTTCTCGTTCTCACTATCATCATTGGATGAGCAACTTGATGAATCAATATCTGTGAGCCAATCACCGACGATGTATGCCTTGCTATTTTTCTTCTTCTTCTGGAAATCCTTCTTCTTGCCATCCTTCTTGTATGGCTTATTTTTCTTCTTCTCATCATTATCTTCATCACTTGAGTCATCTTTCTTGCCCTTGTACTTCTTCTTGTACTTGTCTTTCTTGGGCTTGGGGCATTGATGAGCTAGAGGACCAAGTTCTCCACAATTATAGCAATCCATCTCGGAGATTGGCTTTCTTCTATTGCTAGTGAAGAACTTCTTTTTGCCGTCAAACTTGACACTGTTCTTGTTGAGCTTCTTAAGCATCTTGGCGGTTCTTCTCACCATGAGAGCAAGACTTGCATCATCAATTTCATCATCACTTGAGCTCTCATATTCAATTCTTGCTTTGCCCTTGTTCTCTTGGCTAGCCTTGAATGCTAAGTCTTTCTTCTTGGTGGAGGAAGAGCCATCTTGTGGTGTGATGTGCATATACATTTCATGTGTATTGATCTTTCCCAACATTTGTATTTGTGTAGTGGTGGAAAGATCACCTTGATGGAGCACGGTCACAATATACCCATATTTGTCAATGGAGAGGACACTCAAGATCTTTCTTACAACATCGGATGGTTGCATTTGTGTGAGTCCAAGCCCATTGACTTCCTCTACAAGGACATTCAAGCATGAGTACATTTCATTAGCACTTTCTTTCGGAAGCATCTCAAATGAATTAAGCTTTTTCATAACTAAATGATAGCGTTTCTCACGCTCACTCTTTGTTCCCTCATGGAGCGCACAGATGTCCTACCATAGTGCATGGGTGTCATTGTGGTTCCGCACACGGTTAAACACATCTTTGCAAAGGCCTCTAAAGATAGTGTTTCTAGCCTTTGTATTCCATTTCTCATAATTGACCTCATCGCCTTGAAGGTGTGTGGGATCCTTAGGTTTTGGGAAACCTTGAGAGGCGGCTCTAAGAATTCCAACATCTACAGCTTCTAAGTAAGCCTCCATGCAGATTTTCCAATAAGGAAAATCATCTCCCTCAAAGATAGAAGGAGGTCCATCCCCGTGGGACATCTTTCTCTTGGCGGTTAAGCCTAATTTAGTGAGCACGAGGCTCCGATACCAATTGAAAGGATCTAGATGCCCAAGAAGGGGGGGGGGGTGAATTGGGCTAATTCTAAAATTCTTTACAATAGTTAAACCCTACAGTTAGCCCACATCACCCCTTGTGCCTAGAATGTGTTCCTATTATTCTACCGCACAAAAGTTTTACACCATAGGTTCTGATCTTACTCTAGCATGGCAATTCTAAGACTGTAAAGACAAGAAATAAATTGCTCAAATGTAAATGCTTAAAGTAAAGAGAGGAGAAGGAACGCGGCTATATTTTGCCGAGATATCGGAGAGTCGCCACTCCCCACTAGTCCTCGTTGGAGCACCCGCGTAAGGGTGTAGCTCCCCCTTGATCCGTGCAAGGATCAAATGCTCTCTACGGGCTGATTCTTCGACACTCCATCGCTCACAACCGCTCACAACTTGAGTTGGATCATCCACAAGCTCCGCACGATGATCACCAAACTATCGATCACCACCAAGCCGTCTAGGTGATGGCGATCACCAAGAGTAACAAGCACGAACTCTCACTTGACCACGACAAACCTAATGAGAAGGGTGGATGCACACTTGCTACTCTCCTTGCACTAATGAGGCCTTAATCTTGGATTCTCAAATCTCAATCACCTCACTAGGCTCTTGCTCTCCTTTGCACTCTCAAGGGTGTTTCTCAGTTGAACAAATGGGCAAGAGGCCTCCCTTGGATGAGTGGAATAAGTATTTATACTCTCTCATTCAAAACATAACGTTTGGAGGTTAAGTCATCACTCTGCGGGGTGACCGGACGCTCCGGTCAGTTATCACCGCCACTGTGTCAGAAAGAGCCATTAAGTTCTGACCGGACTCTGACCTGCGTCCGGTCATGAAAACTGCTCTATGGAACCTTACTGATGTTGACCGAACGCTGGCACCCAGATGCCGGTCACTTCACTCTTCAGCGTCCGGTCAGTTACAGGATCCTGACCAGTGTCCGGTCAGCACTGACCGGACGCGTCCGATCAGGAATCTCCCTCTCTGGAGTTGACCGGACTCTAGCACCCAGCGTCCGGTCACTTTTCACTCAGCGTCCGGTTGCAACCAGACGGCTCCAGTTGATCAAATGAACTGACCGGACTCACCCTTCAGCGTCCGGTCACAACCAGATCAGCGTCCGGTCAGTCATTTGACCCTCCATTCACTCCAACTCGAAATCATATGTAAATGAAGTTTGCTCCAATTGATCTTAGGGCCACTCTGGAGCTATCTAGTGCTAGATTTGACAAGTGTGCACCACACCTAACTCACTAGACTCACGTAGGTCAAGCTACTAGTCCATACCCCCCTTAATAGTACGGCCAAAGGAAAATAAAGTCCTAAACTACTTTAAGTGTCTCTTCAACACCAAACGTCACTTAGAACTAGTCCATCCTTAACCTTGTCGTCCATCATTTGAAAACCAAAACGATTTCCATCGTAGGGGCATGATAACCATGATTGTCCAATTAATTGTCATTACCATGACCTAACTTAAATTGCCTTGCAAAACACACGTTAGTCATAGTAATATCGTATTGTCATTAATCACCGAAACCCAACTAGGAGCCTAGATATTTTCATTCGCCATCAGCGGCAAGCGGAAGCGCCCCTCCGAGGACGGCGGACCTATCGGCCAGCAGATAGCCGATAGGCCTATCGGCCCGATACGGCGACACGGACACAAGCTACTACTCAACTAGTTTCATTTTTGCCTGCTGAACATGTGTCGATGTACTACTGTACTAGAAACATCTTCCAAATAAAGAATCCATTTTATATATGTACGTACGTATGAATAAATAAATACATATATAAAATAAACATGGATGGATCGATCAGAGGAGGAAGCAGAAGGACTAGTGTAACTAAGGATACATACATAAATTGGGTAGCCAGCTGCAGCGTGCTACTCTACTACTACTAGTACTTATGGTTGGTTGCCATACGAGCCAGTCCGCTCCGAAGACTTGTCGGCTTCTGGACTGTTGATATGTTTTTGTCGGCGCTTCAGAAGTCGATTGGTCTAGGTTGCTGATCTGCAATATTTTTTAATTAATGCTATATTTACAATTAATCATTAAAAAATATTATTTAAAAAAATATTCGTTCATGTATATTTGTCCATTGGGCCAGCTTGAGTATTTTTTATGAGCGACCCAAACTACATTTTGAGTTTTTACCATTTATTTATATTATATCATTTGTATATTTGTTATAATTTTTTTGATAGTCGCATAGTATGTTTCATTACCAATCTAACCTTATTAAATGTATAGTATAATAATTAAAATTGTTATGATAAAAAAATTTAGAGTTTACTAACTCTTGATAGGTGTGCTTGCCCTATAAAAGAGAATGGAGGGAGTAGTTCGTTGCCATAATAATTATTAGAGTAAAATCCACCATGGGTGCTTGAACTTATTCGGTATTTCTAAATAAGTCCATGTATTTATAAGATCAGATTTTTGGGTCAGAATTTAAACTTGCTAAATGTATCACCAAGGTCCAAACCGGTTTTAGATCCCTATTTTTGCACAGGTGTCTCCTCAGTTCAACTGCGCAAGGCCTGACTGACCATACACACCTCATAAACCGGTGCGCCCGCGGGCAACCACGAACGGGGTCGGATGCTACGCGCCTGCCGCCACCTGCCAGCGTTGCGACAGGCCCAGCCCCTGAGCCTCGTCACCGTGTTGAACAGCGGGCCCGCGTAGCACCCGGACGCCATCGTCTGCGGGCTGCCAGAGCCGCTGTGCACCGCCATCGCCGTGCGGAGGGGAGTTCGCGTCCGTGGCGGCCACGATGAGCACCGCGTGTAGGAGGCCCAGGAGCACGTACACGCCCACTTCATCCCGGACGCCAAAAAACGCCACCGAATCGGCTGCGTTGCAGCATTGGCATCAATGTCGCTGTACCGCTGCATCCCCATGAGCACCAGGGGGCATGGCACAGTAGACGAGGGTGATAACCAACATGGATGAGATGAAGCCTAGCGGCACGTCGTAGCCGAGGTTCTTGGCCTCCTCGGTCATGGTGGCCACCATGTCGAACCCCGTGTAGGACCAGTACACGATGGCCGCGGCGCGGAAGGTGCCAGCAGAGCCGAAGGGGAAGAAGACGGCGCGAGGTTGGCGGGCTCAAAGTGCGAGAACCCCGCGGCCAGCACGAACGCGATGATGGCGATACCGACCACGATTGTTATCGAGTTGATGGTGCACGCGCCAGACAAGGCGAGCGCGGAGGAGGTGCATAGGACGACAACGGCGATGGGGTCCAACAGATTGAAGCCGTCGCGGGCACGTGGATGCGGAGCATGGTACATGCTCATGCAAAGGGCTGATGCTATGATGCATGCTTGCCTGCGTGCATCAGTGCATGTGCCATGTATAGTACGTGCTCGTTTGATGATCGTGTGCGTTCCGATGCTGTTCGGCGTGACGACGATGTCGTTGGTGGTCGGCGGGGACGGTGACTCCAGGAGCTTCCTGTTGTGCTCAGACAGCCAGGACGGGAACGAGGTGCCTTCACGTGATGGTGCAGTCACCGTGGACGGCGGGCTGCCCCCGCTCTCAAGTCACCAGCCATTATTGATCAGCAAACCCAAGCTTAAGCGAGGAGCAAGCAATGGAGCTCATGCTCGGTGGCTTCGGCGACCTAGCGTTCTTGGCGGCGGTGCAGGGACCTGCCCGACGAGCTGGAGCGACAGCTGAACACGACGACGTGGGCCTATGTGCGCGACCACCGGGCCGTGGCCAACACGTACACCCATGGACGTCAAGGAGCTGCCGTCCGGGCCGATCGTCCTGGCCGTCGACATACCCGGGGTCAGCCTCTCCGACGTCGAGGTCCAAGTGGAGGAGGGCAACGTGCTTGCCATCAGCGGCAAGCGGAAGTGCCCCTCCAAGGACGGCGGACCTATCGGCCAGCAGATAGCCGATAGGCGTATCGGCCCAATATGGCGACACAGACACAAGCTACTACTCAACTAATTTCATTTTTGCCTGCTGAACATGTGTCGATGTACTACTGTACTAGAAACATCTTCCAAATAAAGAATCCATTTTATATATGTACGTACGTATGAATAAATAAATACATATATAAAATAAACATGGATGGATCGATCAGAGGAGGAAGCATAAGGACTAGTATACACTACGTAAAAAACAGTTTGTAGCAATGGGACAAATTTTTTGTTGGGACGGCTGGTGATAGAGCCGTCCCTACAGTGACGTGCTCGGGAGCCCAGTGACCAGCCGCCCTACCAAATAGAATAATAGGGGCGACTGGTGATACGAGCCGCCTCTACAAATGGGTCGGATTTGTAGGGGCGGCTCACTCACCAAATACCGGTATTGCTATTTGTAGGGGCGGCTGGTGATTGAGACGCCCCTACAAATGCCCGCGTATAAATACCACCGATTTGTAGGGACGGCTCAATCACCAGTTGCCCCTACAAATGACCCACATATAAAGCAAACCGCGGCACCTTCTTCCTCCTCGGGTCACTCACTCCAACCCGTAAAAGAAATGTGGGGAGGACTTGGGCACCTTCCAAAAATTGCTATACTAAAGGGGAAAGGTTTTGGTCTCAAATCCTTTGGTGAAGAGGTTGTAGAAGGTAAGAAAATGCTATTACACACTTTTTTTTGAAGTTTTAATAGTTGGTTAGTGAGTAATTAGAGTTTTGTTTTTCTCTATCTTCTATAGTGTTTGAGCTACTTATGAAGCAAATTAGACCCAATTTTTGGATGTACTAGGGTAAATTAGGTAGGGGAACAAGATCATACCCTTATTTGGTCTATGTTTCTTAATTTTAGTGAACAATTAGTTAGTTTTATGGATGTTTAATGTGCATGTCGATCTAGATCTAGGGTTTGGTTTTTTATTAATTTCGTTTTTTAAATTTGTGTTTGATGAAATTGGACTAGGGTTTGTATGAAAGATATTGGGTAAAATATAATTGTTGCTAATTGTTGTCTTTGAAATTATTTATTGTAATCAACAAATATGTATTTTAATTATTTATGGATAAATGGACCATTGATTAATTTTTCTCTACCATGGTGTGTTTGTATGCTTCATGTAATTATATTTGATTTATATTCATATATATCTGAAGTATATACAATTATTCTCAAGTAATTATTAATTTGATTTATTTTTTATATATATCTGAATAAGTAGTCCTTTAATGTTTGTTTTGTCGTCGTTGTAAAAGATGGAGTACAGGAACTCTTGGATGTATGGTTTGTTAAGGTTCAAGGCAGGTTTCCGTGATGAGGTGGATAAATTTATTGAAGCCGCAAAGAAGCATGCAACGACATTGACAGAGAATAAGGATACAATTATTTGTCCCTGTAAAGATTGCAAGAACCGTATGGCATAGACAGATGTGACTATCATCAGATCACATTTGATTATGCGAGGATTTGTTGAGGACTACCCAGTGTGGATTCATCATGACGAACCAATTATTGTTAACGATGAGGATGAGGAGGAATACGACGACGAAACCATAGAATCCCTGTCCCAATATTCAGCAGAGCTTGATGCACGAATGGATTCCGAGTTTGGCAATGAATAAGGTGGTGATGCTGGTGGGTGGGATGGTAACAACGAAGGTGGTGCCAATAATGATGGCGGAGCATGTGTCGGGGATGAAGATGATTTGGATGACATGATTCGAGCCCTTGGACTAGAGATTTTACTAAATAGCCCAAAAGGTCTAGAAAATTTGGAAAGGGTAACAAAAGCATCGAAGGAGACTGTGTATGGTGTTGAAAAGGGTTGTCCGACATATTGGACATTGCTACATTTTGTGCTTGAGCTACTCATCCTGAAGGCTAAGTACGGCTGGTCAGACTGTAGTTTCAATGATCTATTGCATCTCCTGTCATGGGTGCTGCCACAATCAAACTCAGTTCTCGCCAACACATACCAAGCGAAGAATGTCATAAGTCCATTGACAATGGGGGTTGAAAAAATCCATGCATGCCTCAACCATTGTATACTTTTTCGTGGCAAAACATTTAAGTCACTGGATAAATGTCGCCGATGTGGGGTCAACCGATACAAGAACAATGACCTTTACGGTGGGGACGAAGCCTCCACGGGGAAAAAGAGGAATAAGAAGGGTACAAAAAAGGTGGTACAAGAATCTCAGCCCCTAGAGGACACTCCATTAGGCAACGGTACAAAGCAAAGAAGAATTCCTGCCTTGGTAATGTGGTACCTGCCAGTGACCGACCGCTTGAGACGTATCTTCCTAAACCCTAAAGAAGCCGCACTCATGACATGGTGGGATGATGAGCGCAAGGTGGATGATGATAAGATTGCACACCCGACTGATTGTAGTCAGTGGCAAAGGTTCGATGAGAAGCACAAAGAATTCAGCAATGACCCAAGGAATGTACGGTTTGGCTTGAGCACCGATGGAATGAATCCCTTCAATGAGAGGATGAGCGGCCACAACACTTGGCCAGTGATCTTAACCATGTACAACATCCCAATATGGTTGTGTCAGAAGAGAAAGTACCTTCTCCTCACTATTCTTATTTCTGGCCCTAAACAACCAGGCATTGATATAGATGTGTTCCTCGAGCCTTTGATGCAAGAAATGGAGAGGCTATAGAGGCATGGGGAGCTGATATACGATGCGTTCCGAAAGGAGGACTTCATATGTAGAGGAATAATATTTATTACTACCAATGATTATCCTGCGTTGTTTGCTTTGTCTGGACAGATCAAAGGGAAGATGGGATGCTTGGTTTGCTTGGATGGTACTATATGGGTGTACCTAGATGCATCCAAGAAGATAGTTTACCTAAGGAACCGACGCTTCTTAAAGACAAGTCACAAATACCGCAGCAAATTATTCTTTAGATTTTATGACAACACCCCGGAGATTGAACCCCCTCTAGAGAGACGTCATAACGGAGAACACGTGTACAGAATGGTGAAAAACATATGTGTCGTCTATGGAAAGAAGAATCTGGATGGGACAAATAGAGATAGAAGCACACCTTCTGTCGAAGGCGTACCTTTCAAGAAACAATCGATCTTCTTTCATATCTGCCTTATTGGCCAGACTTGGAGGTCCCCCATGCCATTGATGCTATGCACGTGCAGAAGAATGTCTTTGAGAGTCTCATTGCTACCTTGATGGACATAGGCAAGTCAAAGGATGGTCTGAAAGCACGGAAAGACATGGTGCAGCTAAACGTGATGCCACAGCTTCACCCGGTACCTGAGGCTAATGGAAAATACACTCTGCCCGCGGCATGCTTCAACCTAACACCAGACGAGAAGAGAGCTATATGCACTTTCCTGAGGGGGGTCAAAGTCTTGACTAGGTTTTCAGCAAATGTGAAGAAGCTAGTGTCGATGAAGGACTTATCAATAACACACTGCAAGGCTCACGATTGTTTTGTGATGCTGACAGTGTTTCTACCTATTGCAATCAGGGCTATAAAGCCAGAGTTCTTGAAAATGGCCATCACCCGCATGTGCTACTTATTTTCGAAGATCTCATAGAAGATGATTGGCAAGAAAGAGCTAAGTGACCTACATGAATTTGTGGTGGAGACACAAAACTAACTAGAGATGTGTTTACCTCCTGCTTTTTTGATATAATGCCACATCTCATGATTCACATGGTTCATCAGATACAGGCGTTGGGCCCTTGCTACTTGCATGAAATGTGGTCCTACGAGCGGTTTATGTCGGTTCTAAGTCGATCGTGCATAATCGAGCATACCCAGAAGGCTCCATGATAGAGGGTTACAGTACTAAAGAAGTCATCGAGTGCTGTCAAGAGTACCTAAAAGTACAGAAAGGGATTGGCAAACTCGATTCTCGTCACAAGGGTAGGCTGGCTAGGAAGGGCACTAGTGGTAGAAAAGTGTTCATCGACAATGATTACAAAGAGGTGAGTCGAGCGCATTACAATGTCTTACAGAGTAAACAACTAATGCAACCGTACATTGATGAACACTTGGCTATCATTATGGTGGAGAGAAATGGTCGTTCGGATGATTGGGTCATGAAACAACACAAGCAACGACTGACTACATGGTTGAAGGACCAAAACATACCGCCTGGAGAAACCATAGACTCTATTACCATCTATAGGTTGGCGGAGGGGCCATCGAGACAAGTGACATCTTAGAATGCTTATGACATCAATGGGTATACGTACTATACCCACGCAAAGGATAGTAAATATGGGAACCAAAACAGCGGTGTTTGAATAGAGGCTCTTGATGGATTGGGACGAAAGATCCAATACTTTGGTATCATTGAAGAGATATGGGAACCTAACTATAGAAGGGATATAACGGTGGCCCTGTTTCGATGCTGCTGGATCAAACAACACCAACTGAATGAGATCAGATTGAGAGTCCTGGACCTCGAGAATCTAGGCTACCAAGATGACCCTTGGGTGCTCGCTTCACATGTCGCACGAGTTTTCTATATGTCTGACCCACAAAGTAACCTCCCACCGAAGAAGAAGACAAAGCACGTGGTTGCCTCCGGGAAACAGCACATTATCGAAGTTGATGGCATGGACGATGTTGAAGCTTACAATAACTACGATGAGATACCGCTATTCACAGACTTTTCTAAGAAGATCAGTGTTGTGAAAAAGAACCTACCCAAAGACATATTGCCATGGAAACGAAAAGGTGTCAAGGGGAAAATCGTTACAGCGGGCTATCTAGTTGTTGAACGTGGAGTGTTTGTGTAAGTGTGTGTTTGTAAGACTTCATTTATGCATATGTGTGAAACTATATATTTATGTATGTGTGTAAGACTATATATTTTTGTATGTGTGTGAGACTATATTATTCATGTGTGTGAGACTACCATTTGCAACATCCAGATGAATCTATTTCAACATCCACTCTATTACTATTAAAACTTTATGAAATCACTTAACACTTTATGAAATAAAGAAATGGCCAAAATAAAAGTAGGAGATAGTGAT